AGCTGTAAACTTCGATTCTTACTTAATATAAATGAAACTCAACTTTGATAATCTAACCCAGCATTCAGCTAACAAAACTCATTAATAAACTCACTGCATAAAAGGGCTGAAATGCCCTTTGTGCAGGGTTAAGCATTATTTATAGGAAAACATTTCATGAGCAAGCTAAGCCAAACCTCTTATATTGTCAAAATCGAGAATGAATTACCGATATCGATTTTCATGCCATATTGTCCAGTTTGCGCTAAGACCTATTACCAAAATCCTCGTGTCAGCAACAAATTGGTAAGTAATAGCACTGATTTTTTTTGCTGATTCTACTGAGTTGTTTGGGTCAAAAAAGATTTTTTGATTGATCGACCGCTGCTGATGGCGAAAGAAACATTTATAGACATCAAAATAATACCTAACATGCAAGAAAATATTCAAACGGCTTGAAAATAGAAAACTTCTGAGACTTGGGGAAATACCAAATGGAAAAGATCCTTGATAAGTTGTAGCAAAGAAATTTTTCTCATTCAATTTTAAATTAGAATTGGATTAGATGCCTCTGACATTTAGAATATTAAAAGTGTTGAAATGTGAATTTCATCAAATTTATTACTTCTTACAACGGAACACTTGGTTGGAGACTCTTTCACTGTTTTTCATTTCTCGGTTTTCTTACAATTTTATCGCTACTTTGGTTGATCCGTACATTTTATCTTGCTCCGTAACTATTTTCTCACGTAGTTGAAAATTTTAAACTGAATTAAATATTTTTTCCTCGATAAACCAACATTTCTCCTCTTCAGCTATCTAACTATGAGTTTATGTTTCAATTAAATATTTAACGAACTTGAAACTTTGTTAATTAATTTTTGTTTCCACCTCTATTTAATTTTGCTCGTTTTCACTTGTTTCATTTAAGTGTTTTTCTTTAAATGATTTATCTTATGCTATGTGGTAACGAGGTCTAACCATAAGAATTTATATGCACATTCTACTTTTGTAGCAACAGCAAGGGACAGAACGGATTCGTAATATTGATTTTCCTATAATCTGCAGTTGAATGCTTTAGGCAAATTTTGTCTGAGTTTGAGCTAAAACATTGCTCAAATTTCATTATCTTTTGTCCGAGTCTTGATTAATTTCTGAATCAATGTTTCCATAGCTTGCCAATTGATTGCATCTCGTAACTTGATATTTTAACTTCCTGTTATTGTTTTGCACATCCTTCAGCAAGGCTTAACATGTTCCCTAATTTTGTTATTGAAGTTTCCCTAACCAGTTGAAAAAAATGATTATTTTTTTGTTGAATTGTTCCTGGTTCGAATAAGTTATTATTTTTTTATAAAACTCTATGTTTCCGCTTTGATACATGTGCAAAAGGGAATTTAATTTAGAGAACATTGGGCAGCAAAATATGTTTGAACTTTATATACCTACATGTTCACAGGTTTATTATTTTTTCGAAGTGGATTCTTAATAATTTGTTATTTTTTTCCAATAAACCTTTGGTAGAAGGCAACCTTAGTTTGAAATTATACGATCCATGAGGTTTTATTTCCAAAAATTTGTTCGGTTTGATTTTTGCTGGCGCCCTCATGCGTAATGTAACCTACGTTTTTTGAGCAGCTAATGTTTCCTCCCTAGTCTCCACAACTTACTGAACCTTGATTGCCATTTGTAACTATTTTTCATTTTTATTTATATTTTGAATTAATACCTAACCCATATTCGAATAAAGATAGAGTCAAGGTTCGTAATCCCACAGATGATATTCTGTGAAACATTCCCTTCTTCAATCTGCTTGGAATATGCGGAATTTAACATTTTTTTATTTATTTTTTAAACAAAAGTGTAACATTCCAATTGTCACTTTTATGATTGATTGATGATGTAAGGTTAGTCATGTGATATTTTCAACTATTTTGAGCTGTATTTCCGGCTCTGTGTCATTTGCGCGATAGCCGTTTGCGCGAGGGTGAAAAGCGCGACACTAGAAGCGCGAGGGACAAAAGCGCGACGGAACAAAAACGCGACAGAACAAAAGTGCGATGGATACAAACGCGACTGGATAAAAGCGCGAGGAGCAAAAGCGCGAGGGACAAAAGTGCGACGGGACAGAAACGCCAAGGACAAAAGCGCGACGGAACAAAAACGCGACTGGATAAAAGCGCGAGAAACAAAATCGCGAGTGACAAAAGCGCGAAAAATAAATGCGCGAGGGACAAAAGCGCGACGGAACCAAAACGCGAGGGACAAAAGCGCAACGGAACAAAAACGCGAGGGACAAAAGCGCAACGGAACAAAAACGCGACTGGAATAAAGCGCGATTGGACAACAACGCAAGGTGCCTAACTATCTACGAGGACTATAGAACGCTTTCCAAAATACAAGATATTTTCGGTGGTTTCGGTTCAGGATAGCGATATTTGAAATAGCGACATCAGAAAGGCGACATATTGTTAAAGCGATATATAAAAATAGCGACATACAAAACAGCGATTTAATAAAATAGCGATATTCAAAACAGTGACTTTAAAAAAAAAAGCGACATATCCAAAGAGCGATATTCGAAAGCGCGATACTTGAACAGCGACATTGCAAAAGAGCGACATATATTAAGTACGAGATTTAAAACAGCGACATATTAAAAGAGCGACATTTACAACGGCGACCTCTAAGCAAAGGAGGGACACATCAAATTTTATCAATATTAATCAAAATAATGCAGACTTACTCAAACTAACCCGTCCGACTAGTGCGATCCAGGCCTCGTAAGTTAGCATTTTATTTGAAAAACAAATCTGAAGAGACGCTACGCTACCAGTGAATCAACTTTGTTTTTTTTTTTTAATAAAATGCTTATGAGGACTAGATTGCACTAGGCGGACGGGTTATTTTAGTTTAGTTTGAGTAAGTCTCCATGGCGATATTAATTTGAACCAATAACAATCAAGAAAATGCAGACTTACTCAAATTAGCCTAAAATAACCCGTCCGCCTAGTGCGATCTAATCCTCATAGGTTAGAATTTCATTTGAAAAACAAAGCGTGCTCAAGTGACGCTACGCTATGACTAAATCAACTTTGTTTTTTATTAATAAAATGCTAACCTACGAGGACTAAATCGCACGAGGAGGACGGGTTATTTTGGGTTAGTTTGGGTTAGTCTGCATTTTCTTGATTATTATTGATTCAAATTAATGTCTCGTCAATAATAAGTATTCAATTTATTTATAGCTTAGCGTCCCTTGACCGCGCCTTGTTTTTCAAATAAAATGCTAACTTACGATGACTAGATCGCACTGTCCGCCTAGTGCGATCTAGGGTTAGTTTGGGTTAGTTTGAGTAAGTCTGCATCTTTTGATTATTATTGATACAATTTGATGTGTCGTTTTTTTGCAATGTCGCTGTTTTGAATGTCGCTATTTTGATGTATCGCTTTAACAATATGTCGCTCTTTTGAACCGGAGCTACCAAAAATATCTTGTATTTTGGAAAGCATTCCATAGTCCTCGTAGATAGTTAAGGCACCTCGCGTTCTTGTCCAATCGCGCTTTATTCCAGTTGCGTTTTTGTTCCGTCGCGCTTTTATCCCTCGCATTTTTATTCCGTCGCGCTTTTGTCCTTCGCGCTTTTGTTTCTTGCGCTTTTGTCGCTCGCGCTTTTATTTCTCGCGCTTTTAACCAGTCGCGTTTTTGTCCATCGGGCTTTATTCCAGTCGCGTTTTTGTTCCGTCGCGCTTTTGTCCCTCGCGCTTTTGTTCCTCGCGCTTTTATCCTGTCGCTTTTTTGTTCTGTCATGCTTTTGTCTCTCGCGTTTTAAGTATCGAGCTTTTCTCCCTCGCGCAAACGATTGTCGCGCAAATGACACAGAGCCGTATTTCCATATGGTATCCGTGCCATTTGTTTACTATCAACTCAAGATTTTCTTCTTCTTAGTCCTGAATTTTTTTAAATGTACAATTACTTTATCTCATGTAATTGTTTGTTTCGCCAAAAGTGCTTCTGCAATTGTAGAAATTTAATGCCGGACTGATAAGTCGACGTTTGCATTCCTTGCCTTTCAATGTATAAAAAAAATCATATTATTATAATTATGTTTTTTCTAGAAATAAATGAATTTGATAAATAGGCCTCTGCGTTCGGGGGCCAGAGTACTTCCAAGAAATTTCCTATAGGGGGCACATCTCCTGAAACAATTTTTCTTCGAAATTATTGGTGAAGAACCCTTATAAAAGAAGTGCTTTTGTGGCCAGAGAATTTTCCAGCAGCGTGCGGCGAGATATTGATCTCCGTTTATCTTTTAAAAGTAAGACAATATAAAAGTAATTTCAAAAACCAATAGAGTTTTTAGAAGAGATATAAAACCAGGTGGCTTTCAAGTAGATCCGGATTGGCTGTCCGCTGTATCAATAATTTATACTTAATAATTCTAACAATCATTCAAATTTTAATGGAGGAAAAAATGGCATTATCATTTTAAATTTATTTATATTTATACATTTTAAATCTCCTATTTCTACTCTCTACACTACTTATAAGCAGTGCACACAATCGAATAATTTTGTTTGGTAAATTTATCTTCTTCGTAATGAGTTTAAATAGCTTTGTTGATGTGCGTTTTCAGTTCAATTATATAATCTCCTTTTGTAAAGTCCTATTGTTGAAGAGTTAAAAAATATACGAACGCTCGAGGGGCGCGGGCGTTTGAAAAATCAACGAAAGTCGAAAGCTATGGAAATGCTTTTCTAGGCAAGCTTCATAAGTTTTAATTCGTCGTAGCGCTAAACTCTCAAAGGTAATCTTTCCGAGTGGAAGTAATAAGTGGAATACACGAAATAAAATGCATTAGGGATTTTCAAACTGTTACAACTTGACGCCTCGATGCGAGACTTTTATTTTTCGTTTTTGAAATAAATTTGACGCTGTTTCTACTTGTAATAATTAGGTTATTGATTTTGCACTTAAGTCGGTCCAAATCTAATCAATCTTCGAACTAATTAATTTTCAGATACGGCCGTTGGGTGACCAGACGGGTGGCTCTAGCTACAATCGCAACGATATGGCTTCTTGCGGCGCTCATCTCGTTCGTTCCCATTATGTTGGGCTTACACAGGCCGTCTCATCCCTTTGTCATCGAATCCGGAGGGCAGAATTACCCCACCTGCGCGCTGGACCTGACCCCTACTTACGCCGTCGTCTCCAGCTGCATATCCTTCTACGTTCCTTGTATAGTCATGCTAGGTATGTACATTTGATTGACAGTAATTATTAGTAAAAACATGGAGTTTTGTTACTAGAGAAATCATAGCCCCACAAGCTGTGACAAAATTGAGGTGGTATATTTTATATTTTGTTAGCTTAGCGAATTTTGTCACATCTGAGATGTCAATTATGCTGAAACAATTCCTAAAAAAGATTAATTAACTTTCGAGATCAGGGGCATTGCTGACCACATTTTTCTTCTGTTCTTGAGTTGTTAATAAACATGTTAAGTATCAGAGATTGTACTTTACCTATTTTCTGATGAAGGCTCCTGCCAATGAACTTCTTGGACAACTTTCAGTCGACGTACCGATACAGCGCGGCCTCTGTCACGATAATAGGATTTTTCCTCAATGATTGAACCAAATTTGAAAAAAAAGCTAAGTTTATTGAAAAATTCAAATCGATCTCACCTCGCCACCCATTTTTTCGATAAGTTTGTTAAATGAAAACAAGTCTATAAATATTTGTCCTTTGTAGAAACACAAATAAATATTTCTCCTATTGTATTTTGTTTTGCATAGATTCATATCGCATTTATTGAGTCAGCCAGCTTACCTTTCTATAATTTTATACGTTATAAAAATTCCTTGACTAAGATTTTTAAATGTATTTCTATCTTAGGGATGTGAAATTTTCAAAATTCGAGCAAACTTTTTCTAGCTCCAGGAGGCGTTGGACATGAAATTGCCAAGAGACTTTTTCGGTTTTTTTTTTCGCCTTCTCTACCGGATGTATGTATGTATGTATGTATGTATGTATGTATGTATGTATGTATTGGAGGTGTCAGTTGCACTGCGACCAAGGTTGATCTATTGTACCCCTCCTTCTGCTGCTAAGTTCGGGTTTCCTGCTTAAAGCAGCCCCTCTAGTCCTAGGTCCTTTAGGAATTTTAGGATGTCTAGCGGTTCCAGGGCTGCAATGTCTGTCAGCTGTATAAGGGGGCTTCCCAAGTTCTTCATTCTTGAGCGGCTTACGGCATCGCAGTTCAGTAGAAGATGGTGAGGTGTTTCTTCACCGACTTCACAGAATCTGCAAGTGTTACCTTCTTCCAACCCCAGATTATGTAGGTGCTTATTCAGTCTGCAATGTCCCGAGAGAAACCCGGTTAGAGTTTTGAGACTTTTCTTGCTAAGGTTGACCAGCAGTTCCGATCTTTTCTGGTTGTAGCCACCCAATAGATCTTTGGCCTGTCGTAGTCCTGGTTGGTCTAGCCATTGTTTGTTCCTTAGCCGGTTCTCTTCCTTTTTGAGGATTTCTTGGAGGTGCGCATTTCCGACGCCGCAGAATGGTTCTGGCCCAGTGAAGGGAGTGACCGCTCCCGTTTTTGCAAGTTCGTCTGCGCATTCATTGCCCTCGACTCCTATGTGTCCAGGAACCCATAGTAGGGTTACTTTGTTTTCTTTCCCCAGCTCATTGAGTTTCTGTAGACATTCCCATACTATCTTAGAATTGACTACCGGCGAGCTCAATGCTTTGATAGCTGCTTGGCTGTCAGACATTATTACAATGTCTCGTTTTCGGTACCTTCTGTTCAGGTTGAACTGCACGCATTTTCCGATCGCATGAAGTTCGGCTTGGAATATGTTTGGTGATTTGCCCATTGGCTCCGAGTATCTGGTTCGTGGCCCGAATACTCCAGCTCCTGTCCCCTCAGCAGTTTTGGAGCCGTCTGTGAACCATTCGATGGTGTTTGCTTTAAGGGACTGGATACATTCTATGTTCCATCTGTTCTTTGTACTTTTCGATGGAAAAGTTTTTCTCGAAACTGAATTTATAAACAATCGCGTCTTTTGGTAAGTCCATGAGGTGTGCACAGTTTGGGAGAGGGAAAGCTCTGCCAGAGTGCGTTTTCCCTTGTAGACTTATCTTCGCCAGTCTTAGATATGATTCACTGGCAACCCGCTTCACTATTGTGTGAAGTGGTGTTAGGTCTAAGATGACTTCCATTGCCGCGGTTGGGCATGTTCTCATTGCTCCTGTTATGCATAGACATGCGAGTCTTTGTACCTTTCCTAGGGTTTTCCTAGCCGTTACTAGCTGGGTTCGGCTATACCAGGCTACCGCTCCGTAGGTGATGATAGGTCTGACTATCATGGTATACATCTATCGTAGGATCGATGGGTTACAACCCCACGTTTTGTCCGCAATGTTTTTACATACCATGAGTGCCGAAATTGCTTTGTTTGTTATGTTCTCTATGTGTCCGTTCCAAAGGAGTTTAGAGTCTAGGGTTATTCCTAGGAATTTAACTTCTTGTTTCCAGTGAAGCCTGCCGGATAGAATATATTGTTTTTTCGAAATTCGGAAAAGTCAACTTCCAATTTCGGGAAATCTCGGTAAAATGAGTACATTTTCTTTCAGGAAACTTTCCAATTCAACAAGACAAATTGATCTGTCAATGATATATTTTTTTTCAAACATTAAAGCTTTTTGTGTCCTACAAAATAGGGCATTTATCGAAAAATATTGTTGACAGAAATGCAATAGGTATAGATTTCAAAAGCACATTTTATAAAAGAGCTACTCTTTCGAAATCAAAGGTACCTATATTTCCACTTGAAAAATCGTATAATCAGTGAACGTAATTGCAGAACAACAGGCTCAATTAAAAAGCTGTATGGAATCGATAACTATTTTTTTTTACTTCAAAACAAACTTTTTTTGTTCAGCAAAATAAACTCAAGGCACTTAAAGATGTGTGAATTGACTGCGTTCAATCAATAGTTAATTTCAGTCATATCAGAACCGAACCAACGTACTCTACAAGTTTTAATCAAGTGAAGATAAAATTTAAATATTTAATGTATAGAGCGCCCATTTTTATGTTGCTATATAACCAGCGTATCGCGCATTTGTAAATTGAAATCTTCAAGTTGAAATTCAGTTAAAAATGAGTGGTTTAAAGATATGAGAGTCCTCGAAAGTTATTTCTAGAGTTGGGCTGCCAAAGTGCACGTATAGAAAACATTATTTTAACAGAAATTAGCCGTCAAACGATTAGAACGAAGGCGAAAATTCACAGTGTGACGAATCTAATTAGAAAAATATTTTCCTTTAGGAATAGCAGTGGCTTCGTACACTTGTACGCTTGAACTGAGACTTTTTCTTTTGGAAAAATCATACAGAGCATAAAATTTGTATGTCCATTTTATAGATGAACAAACATGGTTATCATTTGATATTATCAACAAATAAAGCTTAAGTTAAGACCCAGTATAAACCTTTCAGGTACCTATTCGACTCTAATCACATTAAATTACAAAATTTACTTGAATTTATAATAAAACCACGATTTATTGGGGTTATTAAGTATAATAGTGGCCGATAATAATAATAATGAGTTTTGGGATATATTGCCGCCTCAATAAATCGGGTAGTTTCACTTAATCTGCTGTTAAGCTTATTATTTACTGTATAAGCCATAAACTTGGTGTTCAATAATAGACAATAAATAATTTATTTATTGGTGTAATTATTAAATAGAGAATATTTCATAGAAATAATATAAAATCAACTTACATTTATGAACTCAATTCATTTGCCATGAACACGGCAATGAGTTGAGTGGTGGAATGTCAAACCATATAAATTACATTTCAATTAAACTAAACCAACAGTTCAGTAATTAACAGAATAAGAATTATAGGTTTACTGGTTCCGAAACATAGGTATTTGTTCTATTTGTCGTGAATCAGCCAATAAGCCACTAAGCCAATTAAAGAGCCTGTCGTAAACTGACTATTAATTTGGACCGCATACTAATTGGTTTCTTGACGAGACAATGTCCGGGGTTTCGCATTTCCAATAAATATTTAAATTTTGATATATTACTCGAATATTTGTGTGTATATATATTGTATCGAATTCAACTCATCAATATAGGTGAATAACAAGAATTCCAGAAAATATTTCAGTGACGTCTACTGCTTGGTGGGGATCGCGTGAGGTGTCCATGCAGTGAGCGGAATTTATGGTAGACATTCTTATTACTTCATGTCCGATTATGGATCTGGACTTATTCATGTACCATTTTATGTGTATCTATTCCATACCGGTAGTTCGTTGAAAGTCGGAGGACACCTTAGATTATCACTTCGATGACTTTTTCGGCAACTCAGCAAGTTACTAGACGATTCAGAGACTTCCTCAAGTCAGTAGTTAGGCCGTGCTACCAGCTCAAACTGAAATATCCTCATCAGAAAACACCCTTTTTTTTCCTCACTCCGGGGGCGGAGGAGGATTCCTTGTATGGGCCCGTTGTGCGCCCACTAAAAGGTGATCCAGCAACGCGGCCCTTGCGAATGCACAACGCTTACGGGGCCTGATCTTTCCTATGATCAATAATATAGCTGCCAAGGTACTCGTTTCTAATCCGAGCAATTTCTGGACATTCGGCAAGGACATGGATAGAGGTTTCCTCATCCTCCAGACAGAATCTGCTCTCGGGGTCTCCTACGATCTCCATCAGGCTCTGCTGAGGTGACAATGTCCCGTGAGGAGCCCATGTCCCGTGAGGAGCCCATGTCCCGTGAGGAGCCCATGTCCCGTGACGAGCCCTATCAGTAACCTGATGTCCTTCTTCTCCAACTCTAGAGTAGCCTTGGCATTATTGGGTTACCAGGCCTCCATTAGGAGTTTGGCCTGCCTCATTCCCGTGCAGCCTTGCGGGGCATCTTTTCCTTCAAGAGTCTCACCGCTGTCGAGTATGGTAGGCCTATCACCGGCTCTGGACCCAATGCTAAATCTGCCGAACCCTGCCTGGCCAGACGGTCAGCTCTCTCGTTTCCCGGGACATCAGAGTGTTCCGGTACCCAGATGAGGTTCACCTCATTTTGTCTGGCCATTGCATTCAGTACAGTTCTGCACTCCGCCACCAGAGCTGAGTCCACTCTAAAGGAAGACAGGGCCAGCAGTGCCGCCCTGCTGTCCGAGTAGACATAAATATCCCTGTTTGCGAAGTCGTGTTGGAGGTTTTC